GTTCGAAACAGAATAATTCAATTACCGTAACTCCTTCCTGGCAAGGCTCGGCGTGGCGTCCCTGGCGGTGCATTTCCGGTCGTCTGCGGTGCTCATCCTTCAGATTCGACTGGCGGGGCTCGTCCTTCGGGTTCGTCTGGCGGTGCGCATCCTTCAGATTCGTCTGCGGTGCGCATCCCTCAGATTCGTCTGGCGGTGCTCGTCCTTCTGGTTCGTCAGCGTTGCGCATCCTTCAGATTCGTCTGGCGGTGCTCGTCCTTCTGGTTCGTCTGCGGTGCCCTTCCGTCGTCTGCGTTGCTCTTCCCTCGTCTGCGTTGCTCTTCCGTCTTCCGCGTTGCTCTTCCCTCGTCTGCGTTGCACTTCCGGTCGTCCGCGATCGTCCCATGGACGAACAGCTGTGGTCAGAGAATATCTCATTACGAAGTTCGTTTTTTTGTGTGTACATACTCCCGACAACGATACCATGAACGAAGATAGGCACCTTCTTCTTCCTCGGCGAGGACCGGATGGCAGTGGGACGACCCTCTTCTTTGCTCCGATCCGAGAGTACCTCGAACATTTCAAATAAATAAAATAGCATTTGCACACAGACAAGGAAAGCGCATAAGCAATAAGCGTTCTAATAAAGCGCATAAGCAATAAGCGTTCTAATAAAGCGTACAAGCAATAAGCGTTCTCATAAAGCGTATACCACCAATAAACGATAAGCGTATACCACCAAAAGCGTATTCCACCAATACTACGCAATAATAATACCAAACAACAATAATACCACACAACACAAACTACCACAAACTACGACAAACTACTACAAAGGTACCACCAATAAGCAACATGCCACACACCCTGTGCACAGGAAACATTCATACTCTTAAATCACTGAAACCGTATTTATTTCACCACCCCATGATTCCGGACAGCTGTCGTATGGAATCAATTAAACTTTTTATTTTTTAATACATAGTACAATTCAACCCTTTCTTCTTCTTCTGCATTGGCGCTGGATGACGAACCGATCCTCTCCTACACGTAAACAGAGATAAGGTTTTCAATGTTGGTTCGACAAATGTATGCGAAATAAATCAAACAGTACTTAACGTAATTGCTCCTCATTCCTAGCAGGGCGAGACCATGTCGTCCTAGACCACCGATGGATCACCATCTATGGTACAGAATGAAACGTATCTCGTTAAAAAGTTCGGATTTTTTATATATATAATATACATACTACCGACGGTCGGATTAACCCCTTCTTCTTCTTCTTCATCTCAGAGAGGACCGGCATGGATGACGAACTGTAGAGATCCTAGATGCAAACAGAGATAAGGATTGTGCACCAATAAATATGTGTAGAATGAATCAAAGATTACTTAACGTCATTGACCGTTGTAATTTCGTCCTTGGTCGTTTTCCTAAACGTCCAACCCCGATGGACCAACAACTGCAATCAAAAATATATTATTAAAGAGTAACGCAATATGTTCAAACTATTCAAACGTAGGCATTCATATCCCCGACGGTTTCTTATTTGCGAGTTGAGAATTGGGTTAGTTCTTTTTTTTATAAAAATACTCCCCACTCTCATTTCATCGAAGTCTAATGGAACAATACAAGAACAAACTCGCTGATATGTTTAAAAAAAAAAAAACAATACCTAACTCGGTCATAACGAAGTAGTTGGTGTAGGAACTCGGTAAGAAGACTTAGGAAATGTTATTAACGATTGAATGAATTATCTGCAAGAAGTACAACAGCGCGATATTCAGATTAACAGTGGCACGTAGAAAACTTAACTCGGTAATAACAAAGTCCTCCGTACCAATCAAAGAGATAACAGTCTAATCCAAAAAATATCAACGTCGTTCTTCATAACAGCTGATCCAAACCGAAGAGGAACGACAACCGCGATAATGCTCCTCGTAAAAACATATGTTTACTAACCGCAGATTTAAAACATGTTAATTCAATTACCGTAACTCCTTCCTGACAAGACTCGGCGTGGCGTCCCTGGCGATGCACTTTCGTCCCACGGATCAGCAGCTGCGGTACAAAAATATATCAGCAAACATTTCTTCCTTTATATACATCAGTTACGATACCATACCATTCACACGTCTCCGAGAGTTTTCATCTGCGACCAGATCCGCTCCTACATGGAAACACACATTACCATGCTATACTCGCTAATATATGTGCAATAAACTTCCATTACTTACCGTCCTCGATCCTTGGAGTTCCTCCGCGTTGCATTTCCAATCGTCGGCGGTGCTCGTCCTTCTGGTTCGTCTGCGTTGCTCGTCCTTCTGGTTCGTCAGCGTTGCTCGTCCTTCGGGTTCGTCTGCGTTGCTCGTCCTTCGGGTTCGTCTGCGTTGCTCATCCTTCGGGTTCGTCTGCGTTGCTCATCCTTCGGGTTCGTCTGCGTTGCTCGTCCTTCGGGTTCGTCTGCGTTGCTCGTCCTTCGGGTTCGTCTGCGTTGCTCGTCCTTCCGATTCGTCTGCGTTGCTCGTCCTTCTGGTTCGTCCAGCGTTGCTCGTTCTTCTGGTTCGTTGACGGACCTGTCCTGCTAGGCGGGCAAGTTATTACTAGTATATCTTATTGTTATTTGCATTTCAACGACTTAATATCTCCGAGTCTGGCATTAGGTTAGGTTTTTTTTTTATAAAAATATTCCCGACTTTCATATCGCTATGTCTCTAGATAGAGTAATTTTCCGTATTATTTTCCTTCTATCTAACTAATCTTACGAAGTTCGTTTTTTTGTGTGTACATACTCCCGACAACGATACCATGAACGAAGATAGGCACCTTCTTCTTCCTCGGCGAGGACCGGATGACAGTGGGACGACCCTGTTCTTCTTTGCTCCGATCCGAGAGTACCTCGAACATTTCAAATAAATAAAATAGCACTTGCACACACACAAGCAATAAGCGTTCTAATAAAGCGTACAAGCAATAAGCGTTCTAATAAAGCGTATACCACCAATAAACGATAAGCGTATACCACCAAAAGCGTATTCCACCAATACTACGCAATAATAATACCAAACAACAATAATACCACACAACACAAACTACCACAAAAACACAACAACAATACCACACAAAAAACTACGACAAACTACAATACACTTCTACAAAGATACCACCAATAAGCAACATGCCACACCCTGTGCACAGGAAACATTCAGACACTTAAATCGCTAAATCCGTATTTATTCACCACCCCATGATTCCTAACAGCTGTCGTATGGAATCAATTAAACTTTTTATTTTTTAATACATAGTACAATTCAACCCTTTCTTCTTTTTCTGCATTGGCGCTGGATGACGAACCGATCCTCTCCTACACGCAAACAGAGATAACGTTTTCAATGTTGGTTCGACAAATGTATGCGAAATAAATCAAACAGTACTTAACGTAATTGCTCCTCATTCCTAGCAGGGCGAGACCATGTCGTCCTAGACCACCGATGGATCACCATCTATGGTACAGAATGAAACGTATCTCATTACAATGTTCGGAATTGGATTACACTTTTTTTATACATACATACTACCGACGGTCGGATTAACCCCTTCTTCTTCTTCTTCATCTCAGAGAGGACCGGCATGGATGACGAACTGTAGAGATCCTAGATGCAAACAGAGATAAGGATTGTGCACCAATAAATATGTGTAGAATGAATCAAAGATTACTTAACGTCATTGACCGTTGTAATTTCGTCCTTGGTCGTTGTCCTAAACGTCCAACCACGATGGACCAACAACTGCAATCAAAAATATATTATTAAAGAGTAACGCAATATGTTCAAACTATTCAAACGTAGGCATTCATATCCCCGACGGTTTTTTAATCGCGAGTTCGGAATTGGGTTACTTTTTTTTTTATAACAACGCGCCCGACTCTCATTTCACCAATGTCTAATGGAACAATACAAGAACAAACTCGCTGATATGTTTATAAAAAAAAAAACTAACCCAATACCTAACTCGGTAATAACGAAGTCGTTGGTGTGGGAACTCGGTAAGAAGAATTAGGAGATGTTATTAACGATTGAATGAATTATCTCCAACAAGTACAACGGCGCGATATTCAGATTAACAGTGGCACATAGAAAACTTAACTCGGTAACAACAAAGTCCTCAATACCAATCAAACAGATAACAGTCTAATCCCAAAAATATCAACGTCGTTCTTTATAACAGCTGATCCAAACCGAAGAGGTACGACACCGCGATAATGCTCCTCGTAAAAACATATGTTTACTAACCGCACATTTAAAACAGGTTAATTCAATTACCGTAACTCCTTCCTGGCAAGACTCGGCGTGGCGTCCCAGGCGTTGCACTTCCGTCGTCCACGTTACACTTTCGTCCCACGGATCAGCAGCTGCGGTACAAAAATATATCAGCAAACACTCCTTCCTTTATATACATCAGTTACGATACCATACCATTCACACGTCTCCGAGAGTTGTCATCTGCGACCAGATCCGCTCCTACATGGAAACACACATTACCATGCTATACTCGCTAATATATGTGCAATAAACTTCCATTACTTACCGTCCTCGATCCTTGGAGTTCCTCCGCGTTGCATTTCCAATCGTCGGCGGTGCTCGTCCTTCTGGTTCGTCTGCGGTGCTCGTCCTTCGGGTTCGTCTGCGTTGCTCGTCCTTCGGGTTCGTCTGCGTTGCTCGTCCTTCGGGTTCGTCTGCGTTGCTCGTCCTTCGGGTTCGTCTGCGTTGCTCGTCCTTCGGGTTCGTCTGCGTTGCTCGTCCTTCGGGTTCGTCTGCGTTGCTCGTCCTTCGGGTTCGTCTGCGTTGCTCGTCCTTCGGGTTCGTCTGCGTTGCTCGTCCTTCGGGTTCGTCTGCGTTGCTCGTCCTTCGGGTTCGTCTGCGTTGCTCGTCCCTCAGATTCGTCTGGCGTTGCTCGTCCTTCAGATTCGTCTGCGTTGCTCGTCCTTCTGGTTCGTCTGCGTTGCTCGTCCTTCGGGTTCGTCAGCGTTGCTCGTCCTTCAGGTTCGTCTGGCGATGCTCGTCCTTCGGGTTCGTCTGCGGTGCGCATCCTTCAGATTCGTCTGCGTTGCTCTTCCCTCGTCTGCGTTGCTCTTCCCTCGTCTGCGTTGCTCTTCCCTCGTCTGCGTTGCTCTTCCGTCGTCCGCATTGCACTTCCGGTCGTCCGCGATCGTCCCATGGACGAACAGCTGTGATCAGAGAATATCTCATTACGAAGTTCGTTTTTTTGTGTGTACATACTCCCGACAACGATACCATGAACGAAGATAGGCACCTTCTTCTTCCTCGGCGAGGACCGGATGGCAGTGGGACGACCCTCTTCTTTGCTCCGATCCGAGAGTACCTCGAACATTTCAAATAAATAAAATAGCATTTGCACACAGACAAGGAAAGCGCATAAGCAATAAGCGTTCTAATAAAGCGCATAAGCAATAAGCGTTCTAATAAAGCGTACAAGCAATAAGCGTTCTCATAAAGCGTATACCACCAATAAACGATAAGCGTATACCACCAAAAGCGTATTCCACCAATACTACGCAATAATAATACAACACAACAACAATACCACACAAAAAACTACGACAAACTACAATACACTTCTACAAAGATACCACCAATAAGCAACATGCCACACACCCTGTGCACAGGAAACATTCATACTCTTAAATCGCTAAAACCGTATTTATTCACCACCCCATGATTCCGGACAGCTGTCGTATGGAATCAATTAAACTTTTTATTTTTTTATACATAGTACAATTCAACCCTTTCTTCTTCTTCTGCATTGGCGCTGGATGACGAACCGATCCTCTCCTACACGCAAACAGAGATAAGGTTTTCAATGTTGGTTCGACAAATGTATGCGAAATAAATCAAACAGTACTTAACGTAATTGACCACTGCAGTTCCGATTCTGTGGAAACCCCATGGATGAACTATGGAATCAAAAATATATTATTAAACAGTTCGGATTTTTTTTTATATATACATACTCCCGACGGTTAGATCAACCC